ACCTACAGGGGTTACAACTATTTAGCGATGGGCTCGTCAGTCTAGCAGACAAAGATGCAACAGAGTCCGATGGCTGGAAGTTGAAGCTAAACAAATTCGGATTGGAAATAAGGCGTGAATGTTTAACAGTGAAGGTAATTGGAACAATTTATCAAGGGTCTTGGTAGATTCCCCATCACTGGCAATTTTAGAATCCAGATTGGATGTTTTTCTGTAAGATCTGCTCTAGGAATTATTCTGGGGCAAGTCTCTGGCCTGTTTTTTAAAGGGGTCAGACTACATGATCACAGTGTTTCTTCCTGGCCTTGGAATCTAGGCATAACATTTGAATTAGGTACTTGGAAATGAGATGAGTGAAGTTACGATGTGTCATGAACTCACAGGGTCTATGCTATGCGCGGCCTTTAAACAGTCTCTGGAGTGCAGCCCCTTTGGTCTGTTGGACCCCAAAGGTCTAAGCTGTTGCACAAGGGCAGGTCCAGGACTTCAATGACTGCAAGTCTGGGCCCTCGGGATCCAACAGCCCGTGTCTGTCTGTGACTCCCTGCAGCGAGTCCACCTGAAGTCAGACTCCTGAGAGAGACATTTTACCCCTTCTGGGTGCAACACACTTCAGTCTTTGCAGCGACACTGGGGAGCCTTCTCAAAACACGGTAACATTTATTAGTCACTGCAAATACAGCAGCTGGAAGAGTCTTTTGGCCAGCATGAGCGGTAAGCTTAGGACAGAATTCACCTTGGTGGAAGCCATGGCTTTGCCATGCCCTGCTTATCTGACCTCCTTCTTCTCTCTTCCGTTCTCGGAGTCCCAGAATGAAAGCTGCTGTGTGTCTGTGAACCCCGCTCTTAACACAGGCCCCTGACACCTGCTGTCCATTGTCCTCCTGCTGCCAGCCATGCTGAGTTCACATGTTCAGCCTGCCTCGACTTCCCAGTCATTCAGTGTTAGTGTCCTGGTCTTTGGCTTTCCCTTTGTATCACCTGATCCTCCTCTCACCTCTGTAGGTTCTATTCCGTTCATGTTCATGATTCTGGTCTCCAACCAGAGAGCTACATGAATTCAAACACCTCATCCCTTCCCTCCATTCCAGGGGAAGCATTTTAACCCCTCTGCATCCAGTGAGTAATAATACAAAGGCCAGTGGGCAACGGAAGTGCACAGTGTTCATAAAAACGTTACAGACCATTCCCGGTTCGGTCACACCAGGAGAGAACAGAGCCCCTGTGTGGGGATCATTTGTTTCAGACTGGCTCTCCCTTAATCCTGTCATGACCGTGTAGGGACTAAGGCCCCAAATTATGACTGATTGTTAAGCATTGGCTACGCATCAGTGCTTTTTAGTAAAGATGGGACAAAGGCCTGAGAGAGTTAAATAAAACCCTCAAAGTCTAATGGCAGAGGTTGTTACTCAGGAATTGTTTGTTGGTTTGCAGTAGGGGAAGGGGACAGCGGATCAGGGTCGCAACCTGTAATTTTCCACATCGTAGCCCGTGAGTTGATTTACAGTTACATTGCATTATTGATTCGGGCTCAGGTAGACAGCCTGGCCGGGTAAGAAGATATGTCAGAAGGAAAGGGAACATCTGGAAAGAAAGAAAAGCTGGAAATGGTTTGGGGTAACCGCTTGGCAGATTTTATGGTCTCTGGAAGCCTGGGAGGTTTACTGGTTCCAGAGCATTCCTGCAGCTCCGTAAGCAGATGTTAGTGATGCTAGTAGAGAAAGTGATAAATCAGTTAAAGGCAGAAATAGAGGAGTTAAAGAAAGAGAAAACCGAGAAAGACAAAGAAATACCCAGCCTGAGGGCTGCTCGGATAGTGGCACTGCAGAAGCAGGGGTGTGACAGTGAGTGAGAGAATAACAGGCTGGAGCAGGAAGTGTCTGGATTGAAACAGTGGAGGGTGAAGGAATTGTTAGGGCCTTACTGAAGAATTCTCAGAATAAGACCCAGGCGGATCATGGGGAATGTAAGAGACAATCTTGTGCTCTGATAGCCATGTTGGGTGAGCAGAAGAGAACAGTGATTATGATTTGATGGAGTCGTAGGCTAGGAAGGGTGGTGGGTCAGAGGAAGATCTCGACTTGTATCTTTCTCATTATGAGGATTAGAGGGATAATCCCCATGAGCTTCCCTTTTCCCTTGCGCTCTTCTGGACAGTCCCCAGATGGCTACTGAAAGAGGGCTGGAAGCTGGATTGAGTCAGAACCAGGGAAGAGGGCTCCACCCTGTGTCTTATGCCTCCACATTTTAAGTGAAGTAAGAGGGGATTCACCTCCTGTCTAAAGAAGGTTTTGATACTAGTTGGGCTTTGCAGCAGTGGGACTAGCTGGTGGGATTGTCCCCCGTGTTACTGAAAACTATCCATTCTTCAGTGAAATATGTACTTACTGACAAGATTAATCATTGTCATTTGTCCAGCCCCAGAAAGCCCTAAGCCCTGCCCCCTGCCACTGTAAAAGGAGCCATGATGACCATATTAAAGAGTCAATAAATATCTCCAGATATAAGCAGCCAAACCAAAGACATGTGAAAACAGAGTCAGTTCGGGTGCACGTCTTACACCGCAGCACCTAGATACCAGGGTAACAGGCTGCTTTGAAATGCAGCAGAGAGACAGACACGAGGGAGTGTGGGGAGCCCATTACAGAGCCAATACCTCGGCCACAGGCAGCGCCCTCAAGTTATAGTCCAGTCCTCGTGGGCCTGACTTTCCCCTGGCCCCACACGTCACCATTTACACCAGAGCCCGGTACGTGTAAATCGCCGTCCAGGGAGGACGGTGCATTTCCCAGTCTCTTCGCACAGGTATAAATGACAACACCCAGTGCAGGGCGCTGATGAGCCAAGCACAGGGCGCGTGATGGGCCGAGTGCTCCCCGGGCTTGAGGGCCAGGAATTGCCATTTTACCCTGCACTGATGGGGGCCAGGCCCCAGCTGGTGTGTCTCCATTGACTCCCGTGAAGCACTGGCCAGTTTACTCCCGGTGCGGTTCTAGCCCCGGTGATTCCAGCGGAGCTCTGAGCAACGCCCACCCGCTGGGGGTCTGACCCCAAGGACTCCAATAGCCCCACACCAGACTTTACCCGCTGGGGGTCTGACCCCA